TGGTATAAGTAGAAACACTCCAGGATACATTTATATTTTCTATACCTAAAATTAAGTATCCTTAAAAATGTCAATATTTTATATATACTTAAGTGTGTCGAACTTGGAGGCATGAGAGGATTATCTAGCCCACCTTAATATACGGTAAAATTTTCTGGAGGACAGCCAAGTTACTGTAGTTGAAGTTGTCCCAGGAGGAACCTGAGCAGTACTTCACAAAAGGTCTGACAAGAGGTCACTTCCATCATTATAAGGGTACTTCTATGTTCTCATCAATCCACATCTTCCCTCTAATTGTGAGACATATAAATTGCCAAATTAAATTACGCCAATTTTTCCACTTAGCAGATTGTTCTCTAAGAGCAGACATCTTATTTAACTTTTGCCATCTCAAAGTTAAAGGCTAACCTAAGTTAGTCACATAGATGCAGGTAATGTGAAGAGACAGGTACCTCCTGATTTCTCCTTTCTTAAAATAGGTGTCTAGTACAGTGTCATCCAAACAGAGATTTACCCCACCTATTTTTTTGCACTGATGACCGTAAATTGCCTAATTTAGCCTAGGCAATGATCTAAGCTTTTAGAGATTAAAGTCAGGTAAGATAAATTTTATACTAATACTTGCTGCTGCAGGAACAATCTGCATAGAGGAAAAATCTCCTTACACCTCATCCAGCAGGTAGCTGCTGGATTGTACCAAAATAATTATACTCAGAATTGAGGGATATAAGCCAAATGCCAAATAATCCAATTCACCTTTTTCTTTGTATATATTTACTCTTAAAAGATATTTGTATATATGTCTAATTAATTCTTCTGTTGCTCTAGGTAGTAACTTTCATGAATTGATCTGACGTATGTAGCTAGGACAAAACCAAGCATCAGAGACTGAGAATTTTGTGAGAGTAGTTGGAAATTTCTTGATGCCGATGTGAGGAAGAATCATGCCTCTGAAATTTAGAAGTACTGACATAACCTCAGTTTGGAGTGTTGACGTAAGGAGTTACAGGGAAGTGAATATAACCTCTAAAGGCTCTCTGAGCTGAAGTCTAGATGGTTTATACTGAACGGAATAAATTGCTTCTTGAAAGTAATGTATTACTCATTGAGAAGGATTGTAGCATATTGCTTTCTCAACTCTATTTTTCTCCTGTTTACTCTCATGTATTATTTCTTGGATGGGGTTCATCACCTACTGAAATACATATATAAAGTAAGCCACCTTTCCACATAAAACTGAAGTTCCTACTGACCAAATTGCCTGGTATAGCATCAGTACACTTATCCTGTGTATGAATTACTTGCCAATGGATAAATTAAACCAGTTAGTGGAAAGTAAATTATTCAGTAAATGTCTTCGTGAATGAGTATGAACTGAACCTAGTGGGTGACCTGTGGAAGGTAGATAAAAATAAAGTATTATACAAACTGCACCAACTAATGAAACATACTTGGTAGGGAACAAAATAAGCTGCTTGTCAGTTTTATGTATTTTTGCCTATCCCAAAAGTACATAAATGGCTTTAGGTAGTTTTAAAAAGACTTGAAAAATGTAGATAATGTTCTCAGTTCTGATATCCATTAGTAACTATTTCCCCTATATTGTCTGAGCATTGTAAAAAATTCTTTAGGACCTATTGCTCCTGAAAAAATTGTACAGCCTAAACCATATGGACATGAATACCAGTAGTGAAGAAAGTGAAGATATTTATTCGAAGTACCATACACATACCATTTTGAAGATGGAGTTTAATGTTGAATTAGTTATCTAGGTTAAAAATGTTCAGCAATGGAACATGTGACTGACTTCTCTTCCTTGATGTCACTCTACCAGGTATAAAGAAAGTCTGAAAGAGTAAAAGATTGTGGGAGCTATTTTGTTTCAAATAACTTTATTTTTACTTACGTATATTTACATACATATATCCCAAGTAAATATATGTATTTTTTTACTTATGAATCTCAGGAACGCTGATCTTCTTAATATTGTTTGAAGGTTTCCTGGTGGTCTCAGGTTTGTATGAATTCTTGCGGCCTCGATCAGGAAGCCCAAGAGTTGGTGCCGCAGCAAAGACACGCTTCCTCCTGGGAGTTTCTCATGGTGATACTAATTTCTCTCTGCTGACTGTAGGCAAAGTCTAGATGACTAACTTGGTCTGGATGCCTAGTTTTATATGGCACTATGGCATGTGTAAAATGACATATATATTGTGTAGAAATCTTTGATTAATTTCAAATTTAATCCCGAAGAGATTTTGCTCTTTGTTATCCTACAACATCTTGAAACCAAACCAGACCTCCCCACCTACTGGTGTAAATAGTGGGAAGACTTCAGCCCAAGATATTTTCCATATAAATTCAAATTTAGACAGAGGAATACCCTAATGAAATATCATGTCATCAAAGTTGATCTATTTTCAAGTAAAATAATAGCATTAGCAATGATTTACTTTAGGATAATGTCTTGAGATCCTGAATGAGGGCTGGGACACATGCTACTTGTATACATATGTTGTCCATACAGGTGGTAAAAAGATTCTTCTTGCCAAAACCTAGGAATAATTCAACAGAATTACTTATTTTTAACAGTTCATGCCAAAATATAAACTGTTCAAATAACTACAGAATCCAAATGGGAAAACTTAGGGAAGCTAAAATGACTTTTCTATGATTGTACAAACATAAATCTAAAATTATTAAGTAAAGGGAAGCAATAACTCTTGGTTTACTTATTCCGATGATGTCATTTTCAACATAGGTGTGGTTAAAATAGCTCTTTTATATTTCGTTCATTTTTACAAGATTATTACGTGGAAGCTGTTTGCTTTAAGTTAGGATTGCAACCAGGAGCATTTAACTATAAAGCCCTATTTTTTCTCTGTTCAGTTGTGAAAAATTAGTTTTGCCTGAAAATTTCCATATTTATTACAACTACCAAATATGTTTCTGTAGAGTCTGAAGATACCGATCATACTCTTTTCTTAAGTTTGGCTTTATAGGAGGTTTTCTAATTCTAATAAAAATTGACTTGTTACTCCTAACATAAACTTTCTGTTGATTCAAATGTCATAAACCTATTTCTATATTTTTTAAAATAAGCATATAATTGAATACTTCTATTAGTTGCTTTTGCTGCATAATACATATTATAGGTCCAATCCTGCATCTGTTGAATTATGTTTCCTGGAAGTCATGGGCCTGATACGATTGCCTGTTCTGTCCTGTGGAATTTCAGTGCAGACAGCACTGAGCAATGCCGATGTGTAGGCACCAAGGGCTGTGAAGCATTGGCATCAATCATTGTTGTAAATGATGATTGGGCTGCATTTTGCACTCATATTGTGCTTAATTTGCAGATGCATAAATGATTGTATAGCACAGTGATAAACTGAATCTGTAAGTGTGCTCTTCCGTATTTTTCACAGGAAGCAGCCGCTGTGTAACACTAATAAATTAGATGTCTAGTTAGAAAAAGAATCCACTTTTATTTTCTTCCACACATCTCTCACTGTCAAATAAAATAAGGGTTGTACAGGCATTGCCAGTTTGATTTGTGGACGGGACTTTGCACCTGTTCACTGCATAAAGCAGCAATCCTGTACTCAAAGACATGTGTGTTAATGCAGGGGGAAATGAGGGCACAGATACGGGGTACATAGATTAACGTTCCATACATAGCTGTAGTACTAACATTTCCTCATTTTGCAATCTCAGCAGTATTTTTGTGTAATTTTATTTGGTTGTAATTTCTTAATTAAGTCAAGTACACAGGAAGAAAACCAGAAATTTACCTCCCTTGGTCATAAATAAAGTGGGAGCAGGAGTTGTGCAACCCAAACGATAAAAATAGCAGGTTCCTCTAAATCTGGGATGAATAAAATACGACTGTAAATTCTTGGAAAGTAAGAACACCCAGTTAAAGATTGCCAGTCTTGACTTAAAGATGTCGATTGCTGGAGAACTCAGGATGTTCCTGGGTATTTTCACAGTGATTGATTACTGCCATTGGTAAAATGGGTTCCTCATTTCCAGTGGGAATTGATACAGTTTCTCACAGGTGGATCTTGTTGTACTCCTATCTGATTGAAGGAAGGGACAGCTAATACCAGAAATTTTATCTCTTGACAGGTACTGTGGTCAAATCACCTCTTAACCTCATTGACAAGAAAAATAAATTGACCTTGTTACATCTCTTGTGTAATCGTCATGGGTAGAATTACACTTTTTTTTTCAATTTTCCAGTAAGTTTTTGAAACATTGACAGAAGTAGCAGCTTCGTAAGTGACTACTCCTTACTCCTACTTGTAATTCCATTTGTCATACATCCAAAGGCCTGTAGCAACAGCCTACTCTGATGACTCATATTTAGCTGATTATCCATGAGGTCCCATGTACCTTTTCCAAGTTCACTGATTTCCTGAAAGTTTTTCATCTTGTGTGTGACCTACATTTATTTCATTGCATTTGGCCATATTGGAATATAAGTAAGTCTGCTTTAATGATGTGACTCAATTTGTTCCATATAATTTATTCTCGTTACTGGTTACTGTTCTATCAGTTTTTTGGCATCCATAATTTTATTCAGCAGAAAGTTTATATTTTCTTCCACATTCCCATAAAGATACTGAATAGCATTGAAAGAATAGCAAACTCACTTGGAATTACACTGAAAATACCCACGTTGAATACTGATTGTCTATCGCCAAGTTTTCAGATCTCCCAGTTTTTAATTATTTTATATGTTTAATACCTTTGTTCTCTTCTTTTATGTCATTGGGCAGTCCTCAGCTAGTACAAATCTTCATGTATTTGTTAGTTAGTTAATTATGAATATCACTTGTTGGTGTAAATATCAGATGGGACTGTCCTTGTGACCTGTTTGGCTGCATCCTGAAGCAGACATTCCTATTTTATTCCTCCCCTTTTTTAAAATCAATGTTTTCTCTGTTTTTAATGTATTTCCTGTCTTAAAATGACCAGAGATGATATTGCTGTTGTTTAACTTTACTTTAATGTCATATACAAAATATCCATTCTACATTGCAACTTTATGTATTTTATATCAAATCCAATGTACAGTACCTTAAATTTGTTTAAATAGTATTATAAACATAACTTTCAGGAGGATTCAGTCCTGGAGTGATGCAGTCTTTTGTTAATTACAGTTCCGTTTGATATCCCTGCTGTTCAGCAAAAAATCCAGCTTAGATTCTAGAAGGATCCTTATGAGCTCAGATTTGGTTCCTATCAAAGCAAAAATAAACTCCCAGATTATTTTTTTTCAACTTTGTGTCCCACACACAGCTAGATAACATCCTGTGCTGGGGTGTCCAGTTTGAATGTCATTTGACGTCATCTGTTTCAGAGCTCATCTTCATCCGATAAAGCATCAAGGTAATCTGTATCAACGTATAAGAGAAATCCAGAAAACAAACTGTCTGCCCATGTTGGATCAGAAAAGAGACCGTTTTGGTCAGTGTAGAAGATCTCAAGCCATACTTCGTCTTCTGGCTGAAGGTAGATCACTGTGGATCCAGAAGCTACATCATGGTTGCCTGTGTTCGCATCAAATGTCTTTATCCGGTACTTCCCATTGTGAACCAGGCCAATCGCAAGATGCTTGTTTGCTAAGGTGATATCATAAGAAAAATAATAAATCCCTGGGATGGCACAAATAAACTTCCCTGTGGAAGGGTTGTAATGCTCCCCCTCATTGAAGAGGACTTTATTGAATACAATTGGTAATCTTTCCTCTGGGTAGCTGGTGGTGATGCCAACAGAAAAGGCAGATTTCAGCACTATCTTTCCACACTTACAGACCCCTGGTGCACCTGGCTCTCCTCGGTCTCCTTTATCTCCCTTAGGTCCAGGTGGTCCAGCTGGACCTACTTCACCCTTGGCACCAGTCAATCCTCCAGGTCCTTTTTTACCAGACTGACCTTGGTCTCCTTTCTCTCCAGCTGGTCCTAATGGCCCAGTCTTTCCTCTTAAACCTTCAAAAACATTTTAAGTTAGTTAATCGGTGAACATATCATCTCAGTAAATGATTGTGTGGCTACTGTGTGTGCCTGAACAAACAAGAAAAAAGTGGTCAGGATTTCAAATACTCCAAAAATACTTTCAAAACCCTAGTAAGTTTGCGAAAGGAATGGCCCATTGGAACAGAGGACCAGGCTCCACAGCCCGGGGGTCCTTTGTTTCTATATTCCTACTTTTCTTCATACATCTTGATTACACGTTGAAGAATTTTATATAAAATCAGTCCATTGCTGACTGAACTATGGGCACTGCTGATGGAAAGGACAGCAGCGTGGCTACCTATATAATGATACTTGTGCACTAAATATCTCCTACTATTTGAGCATTTTTAGCGTGTACCTGAATACCTGCTAATCTTTTATTTCTGGCTTGATTCCTGGCACAAATGGGACTATTTATTTGGCACCACACACGCTTCATTTTTCCCAAACTTTTTCTTAGCATCTCTACGCAAGAAGGCTATGCATTTAAATTTATTTACACAGATTTCAGTATATGCGTATTAGACATATCTAAAATATACCTGCATATTTTCTTTCTCTCACTATATATACATGCATCACACTTAAACCCCACACAGGCACATACACACATTCATCGTGTATATATATGTATATGTATGTATAACAGTGACGATGAAAGGTCTGCTTTGTTGTACTACTGTGTTAGGTGACACAAATATTCAATACCTGCGCTCCCTTTTTCACCTTTTTCTCCCTTCCTGCCATCTCTACCATCTCTTCCTGGAAGACCAATGCGTCCGTGTGGCCCCGGGGATCCGCCGGCTCCGGGGGGACCTGCAGGGCCTGGCAAACCAGGGATGCTACAGATGTATTTGGTGTAGTAATTTTCTCCTTTGAACTGGCTTTGAAGAGGTTGTTCGCTTGTGTAGATGGCAAAACTTGTAATGTAAAGCAACACAAACATCCTTGGATCTGAAAAAAATACATAGGAATAAGACTATTTATGCATATTATGGCACTCTAGTCACATGGAGATGGCTCAGAATATGCGAGTAAGTGTGAGACTGCGGTGCATCATGCACAGGTCAACCTGGGATTTCTGCATTACCAGAATCCATGTAGGAGGCAGGTTGGACCTTTTTCTGGTCACCGTATATGTTATTGTATGTCTTTCAAGTAGCCTGACATAGTATAACTGGCAAATACCAGCATTTTTGGACCAAATTTTGACATGTTAAAAAAAGAATCTGGATTTTTCAATGCAAAGTCCTTTGCTTGCATGGGTTTTTTTGTCTTTGGGACCTGGATAAGCTTTATGGAGAAAAGCCCTCTTGCTGGAGGGAGGTATATCTGTACTAGGAGGATGTGCCCGTAGGAGCGGTCTCTTCTAGTGAGGACAAAGCTTACACCTGCATTTCATTTTGAAATTTTCCCTTATGGTTAAAAATGAATATCCAACCTGAATAACTGCAGCAGAAACTTGCTGAGCCTGTGGAAGGGATACCAGTAAGAGAGCTACAGCTTCAGTGCCTGCTTGGAAACCCTGGTGACCACAGCACAAATAACCACTTCACCCTAATGGGTCAGGTGGAATCAGGCAGCTGCCCTGCAGGGAATGGGCTGCCAACAGGTTGGGGTTTTTTAGGCCTGGCTTGGACTCTCATATGAAATGAACTGTGTTGCAATATCTTGCAAGAAAAGTGTTTAAAGGTTTACATATAGTATTTGAGTGTTTTCATAAACAAATGAATGTAAATTGGATTTCTCTGTTCCACTGTATACTGGGAGACTAAAGAAAAAACACTGTGCAAACAGTAACATGCTGAGGAGTTGCAGTACCCGATGTACAAAGGTGTCTTAAATTACTGTTGCATTAGCAGAGAGTCAGTCATGGGTCAGGTGAGATTTTGCAAGTCAAGCTATTTTTCTAGTTCCGTTGCTGGCTTCTCAGAAGACTTGTGTGGGGTTTTTTGTTGGAGTTGTCCATTCCTTCAGTGCTAACTTACAGCATTCAAGGAAATCAGAGTCCACTGGTTTCTGTGGCGAGAAAAAGAAGAAATGGAATGGGGGATTCAGAAAAATATCAGTGTGAAGTACTGTCTACCTTTTTTTACAGTGAAACTCAGATTCATTCTCAAACTCAGAGTTAAAGAAGTTGCAAAGTGAACTAATCTAGAAATCATTCCCATTCCCTTTTCTGTGATACTGATCGGCATTGACTGATTGATTTAAAAACCCAAACCGTTACATTTATTTGCAGTTCATGATATTTCAACTGGTATATGGCATGGTCAAATCTATTCAGCAGGGAAAAAGACCAGCATATACACATACACATACACAGTCTTTATGAAGAATGTTTTCTGTTTTACAGAATAGAAGATTAGAAACTGTCTTGGTATCAATGGCAATGCAGAAAAAAGCATGAAAATATTGTAGTTGAGGAGAAATAAGCAATACTCCAAAATTCTCTTCAGTGATGTATATTCTGCTTTTCATATTAAGCATCTTGTATCAAATTGGTAGAAACCAAACTATTAGTTTTGCTGTCGTTTGATAAAGCCTTACAGTACAGTCAGGCACAACAGCCTCCACGAGTGGATTAACAGATGAATGCCTAACATTACAGCAGAGCAGCAAACGATAACTCCAAGGCAGTAGTTAGCTACAACCACAAACTTCACAGCGACATTTGCTCTGATGTACTACTGAGTGTGCCCAAATAAAGCTCGTGGATTTTCATAGGACTTAGAGACAACAAAGCTCTCTGCAGAGAATAACTTTAAGCACTTAGCCAGGAGGGAGCAGCTCGGAGGGAGTTCATGCCCAAGACTGAGCGTGCATTTTACACAAAGCTGATGGTTAAGAAGCAGACACGACCTAAGGATCAAGGACCGGAACAAAAACTGCCCTTTGCCAGATGAAAGTCTGAGTCAGTAAGATAGATATTCCCACACTGTGTTGCACGTAAGCCAAGCAAAAACAATCTCAACAACCGCTGGTTTTGCCTATGTCCAGGATCTTTTACAAATGAGAGTAAGAGCCTTCACACAGCTGCTCCTGTCACTGGCTGGCCGGTAACTTATTGATGCGTGAAGCTGTCTCCAGCTCCCAGACCTCCCCTGCTGTTCTTCTCATGTGCCTACAGGAAATTAATTAGTCTGGGACATGTGTTTCTGCTAAGGCCATGGGAAAGAAGTCATTTGGGGAACGTGAAGGGAACAGGGTTGTGGAGATAGGGATGTGCCTTAGATGACTGGGGCACTGTGGTTGGAGAACCAGTTTGGGAAGGAGAAGGTATAGAGAGGAATATGTGGAGCTTTCAGCTATGGATTGGGGGTCTTAAGGAGTGATGGGCTGTGAAGCAGAATGGTGGGACTACAGGAAAGGGAACAGAGCTGGGATTAGGAGGAAATGGTGATAATGTTCAGGTGATGATGTTTACAGTCCTCAATTTAAGCTTGGGGGCAATACAGAAGGCTGCTCCCAACAGTGGTACCCAACAATGACATTTGGGAAACCATGCATTAGGCCACAGAATCAGGACTTCTTTTGCCCTTTGACTTGCGTTTTTTCCTGCGTAATCGTCCAGTTTTAAAAGGAGGGGTGGAAGGTGCCTCTCTTTGTTATTGCAGCAGTCTCTTGGAAAGTGTGAAATCTCCTCAGACCAAGGAAGGATGTAGAGCGTTGAACCCATGCCCCCTGTTTCCTGGTGAGTGCTCTAAAAGGTAAATTGTGATGTTAAAGGTGAATAATAACATATGGCCATGCTTTTGAAATCTCAGGCTGAATTAGGAGGCCAAAATCAAAGAATTCAGTTCACCTGGGCTTACAAAGTTAGAGGGTGGAATAGACCTCCCAGATCACTTTCTCAGGAGTCACCTATGTTGCAGTGAAATACTTGATCACAGAGAGTTAACTGGTAGACAGAAAGTGAGTCATAAATTACACTTTGGTCCTGGCTTCTGGTTGTCCTTTTTAAAGATGCAAACTTTTGTCCATAAACTGGGGTGGGAAACAATGTCATTTATAGATGCCAAATAATTTTTCTTCAGGGAAAAACAACATTTGAGGAGTTCATTTTTTTTCCAAATATTGAAAGCCAGAACAAGCACGTGGTATTCTTGTTCACAACAATAACAATCATCTTCATCAAAACCATCACCAAAAAAAATAATGAGAATGATATGAACACAAGATTAGAATAATGTTATTCCAAGTTTAGAAAATGGCATTTCAATAGGTTCCAAATCCACTAGGTAGAGCAAGAGTGCAGGCCAAGGCATTCACTGGAAGACGATGGACATGCTGATCAGTTCTAATGTGCAGTGGATTTCTGGAACAGCTTTTCTAAGTGAGGGTGGCAGATTCATTTGTTCTGTCACTGTTCAAACTGCACAAGCAGCATAATCACTGCCCTTGTGCATAAATCCAAAAGATCGTCTGATTCATTCGATATTGGAAAAATATTAAAAAACCTGTTCTGTACCTAATACCTTATTGCAGTCTGTTAAGGTGACAGATCTAAAGAATCAAAAGAAGCATCGAAAGAAGGGCGGCCAGCAGGTCAAGGGAGGTGATTCTACCCCTCTACTCTGCTCTGGTGAGACCCCACCTGCAGTACTGCATCCAGCTCTGGAGCCCTCAGCACAAGAAAGACATGGACCTGTTGGAGCGGGTCCAGAGGAGGGCCACAGAAATGATCAGAGGGGTGGGACACCTCTCCTATGAAGAAAGGCTGACAGAGTTGGGGTTATTCAGCCTGGAGAAGAGAAGGCTTTGGGGAGACCTTATTGCGGCCTTTCAGTACTTAAAGGGGGCTTATAAGAAAGATGGGGACAAACTTTTTAGCAGGGCCTGTTTTAAACTAAAAGAGGGTGGATTCAGACTAGATATAAGAAAGAAATCTTTTACAATGAGGGTGGTGGAACACTGGCACAGGTTCCCCAGAGAGGTGGTAGATGCCCCATCCCTGGAAACATTCAAGGTCAGGTTGGACGGGGCTCTGAGCAACCTGATCTAGTTGAAGATGTCCCTGCCCACAGCAGGGGGGTTGGACTAGATTAACTTCAAAGGTCCCTTCTAACCCAAACCATTCTGTGATCCTATGATTCTATGATCTACCTTGAGAAGATACTCTGTACATTACATTCCCATCGAAGCTAGGTGCTGGGCTGAGGGTCTTTAACATCAAGCCTTTAGGAAACCTCACTTCATTACTGATAGACTATGTCAGTAACATTTTTTCAAGCTTAGGAATTAAGGGATTGTAGGAAATTCCCAGTTTTGAGACTTCCTGGCATATATCTAATCTTCCTCCCTTGTCCAGCTATGCAGGTCTTAATTCTAAAATTTACTAATTGGCAGTGTTTTGAAACAATCCTAGAAGATTTCCCATGAATCTGTTATAAATAAAAGCTGGGTCAAAAGCCAGTAATTATTAGTCACAAGTTATCCTGGCTGTATTCTTACTTTTGCCTTTCCTTGCTAGCTTTGAATTCACTTCCAATACATATGCATAACTATTTCAGGAGGAGGAGGAGATGTGTTTTATCTTCCTTGTGCAAAAAGATGTAGACGAGAAGTAGCGATGCTCCTGGGCCTTTTCTGCCTGCAGCACTGGCAATGGCTTAGTGATGCAGAACAAGATAGTCTATACATCCTCTGTCTCTCCAATAGCAAAGACCCATACTATCTCACATCGCTACCTTGCATCCCCGCTGTGGGATGTACAGACCTTCCCCAGCTATCCCATCCAGGAGAGCTGTGGTAGGAGAAACAAGGTGGAGAAGGATGTAGTAAGTCAGGATGAGAAGCAGAGACACCCTCAACAGCTAGCTTGAAATCTCACTAGCTATACCTGTCTTTTCCCTCTCAAAACATGATCCACAAAAATCAGTGGTTTCATGCCTGAAGGGTCCAAACCTGCCATTCAACTTGCCACCACCACTGACCTTTCTACAAAGCCTCAGAAACAGCGGCTTGCAGTTTAGCACGCCACACTCTGCAGTTTCTTTGCACTGTATGATTTTTATGCTGTTTTAAAATACAAGTCTTAATCATGGATTTTTTCCCAGGTATTTTACATTCATCATTCATCTTCAATTGGGCCCAGGTTTATGCATCTCCCAGCTTGTTTAGTGTTATGGGGACTATGCTGGACTTCCAGAGCTCTACCCGTAAGACCATGCCTTACTCTAAGAATCAAGACCACAGCTGGCCACCACCACACTCCTTGGGTTAGCTACACAATCCAGCAATCTTCACATGGCTTTACATTGTCTTTGCTTCCCTTGTGTAAGAAGAGGAGAGTGACCTGACACTTTTTGAGCTGTCTGAACTATGCTTTGAATTGCTGATGGTGCCCAAAGGGATCAATCAGCCAGTGGGAAGGAACATTAGCTAAATATTTCTGAGAAAACAATCCTTAAAGGTCTTATTAGCAATGCTGGCATTTAACGGTCTCACTCGCTTCAGTTTGTACTCAGTCATTTTTGAACAGCCTCCTTCATAACTACATTGAATGCAGTTAGACTCTTCAACCACATCTCAAGCCTTCACGAAAAATAGAGTGCTTATAATCAAGACCCGAAGTTCAATGTGTTTGATTTTCAAAATATCAAAGGAGTGGGAGTCATTTTATTTCTCAGTGTCTGACTTGAAACATAGTCTCTCTTTCTGGTTCCAGCCATTCCCATTATTTGGAAGGTTGTTTTTACTAAAAATGCACTAGAAGCTGGTCAAGTCGTGTATCAGTGAGATAGTCTGACTCAGCTGGGGGAAATTTTAACATGAGGGCTGGCAGATGAAGCGGTTTCACTGCCAGCTGTACCAGAACACACAAATAAATGAAACCTGACAGAATTTGTCTTGACAGAGAGCTGAGAAGCTAGGCCAGTTGCTTGCAGTTGGCAATTAACATGGACACAATAATATGTTTGCTTGCAACGTAGTGAAAAATGGCCAGGATTTAACACTGGAAGACTCAGGATACAAGTGTCCCTACACCTTGGGTACAGGCTTCTTTAAAAGGTTTT